CCCCCAGACGCGAGGAATTTGAAAAAGCGCGTTCGTAACAACGCAAATTGCGCAGTAAGGAGTGTATTTCAGACTTTTTTAATGTGACCATCGTAATTTTCGTGTCATTTAACCTCTAATTAGTCTATTCGCACGGCTGTATCTCCTGCATGCAATTGGCCCATTGTTAGGCAAGACAGCCCTAAATGCTACCTTCTGCATACTTTCGTGATTGCGTTTTGGACACATAATAAACACATTTTCAGGTTAGAAATTGGCAGAGGAGGACAGCATAGCGTCACTTTACTTGGAAGCACTGTTTTCATTGGCTCTCTGGAGGAATAATGTTACTTGCTGCTGTCTGACCTGAAACTACGTCCTTTTTTGCGCACTTACGGCTTTCTCATACGTTTTGTCTTTATATAATGAAGATGAATTTTGCTATTTTAGCTATTTCAGTGATGTAATCTAAAAGAGATTAGACGAATTTTGAAGGAAACTTGATTTCGAAAATTTGACATTTACTGCTCTCTTTGCTATCACGGTAGTATAGACATGTGTATTTGTACCAACAGGGTGTTAGAAAAGTCCCCTCCCCCTTTAAGTTTTCACCGAATTGAGGTAGAGATTTGAAACTTCGAGGACGTTCCTGGGTCAAAGGAAGCTACTGTTTGCCCCCTAAAATTTTTAGGGAGCCCCCTGGGGGGAGGGGGGTAACGGACCCTAACTTTTTTTTCAAATGGGTAGACCCCCTTTGTGGTACCTCATGCGAAGGAGCATATAATATAAAAATTTTCGCGCACAACCCGAAGTCAATAATATCTCCAACCGTTCCAAAATGGCGGCCGATTAAAGTTCAAAATGGCCAAAATTTGCACCTCGGGCTGTCGGCTGTTTGCCTGAAACTCTGGCAGAGTGTAGTATCTGTGCAGTATATCTGTGATATTTCCGCACGAGAAAAACGAATTTGACGTTAGATTTTTAAAAAAACCCGAAATGTCCAAAATGGCCGAATATTTACACATCTAATTACAATTTAAGGGGCTTGGAGGACAAGACGCGTAAGTGCAGTTCTTGAAGGAATTTTTGGATCGAAAATGTATCGAAAAAGTGACCCGAACTCGGCGCACACCGGGCTCGGAATTCGTCGAGCAGAACATGGCGCCAGCTCTTCCATTTACATTACGACTCAATGTACTCTATGTCTGTTTCCTACATATTCGAGCCGGAATTTGAATTTCCCGCGTAAGATTCGAATTCGAATTTGCCGCCTCACCAGTCATCAGGCAACAGATAAACATTCAACGGCATCAGTGTCTATTTTTTTAATGTTGGTTTTTTTTTGCTGACTTTTTTTTCATGGTCGTTTTTTTTCTCGATGCGCTGCCTTTTTTTTTTTTTACTTGTGTTTATTTTTAAGGGTTACGGAAATCGTTCCATACTATTCCTTTGAGAGTATTTTTTTTCCCCCCTAAAATCCTCCAAATAGAGAACAATGGCAGAGGCGTCAAAAGCAGTGCATCTTACAGACATGCAGCAATCGTACATCGCATTTTTCCGGAAAAATCCAACATATTATAAAACACACCTGAAGCACCTGATCCTGATGTTAAGATGAAAATGTAGCAATCGTTCCCACTCAGAGTTGCTAAAAGAAATTTCATCGAATGAAATTTCATGAAATTTCTTTTTTCCCAATGAAATTTCTTTCGACCGACAAAATGTCAAAAATGCTTATTTTTTCTAACAGAATTTGTTTTTATTTTTAAAGAGAATAATATTCGTCAATTAGACCAGTTGGAGGGGTGCCACACACGGGAGGGATGAGGCGCCCAAAAGTGAGGCTCTGCTGCGCGCGCACGTCGCATGTTTGGATTGTAATTTCGCGGCAGATTCGAACCTAAGGGGCGAGTTCCATAATACATTCTTCTCAAATGCACAGTATTAAAGTAAAAAAAGTCCAGAGTTTTAATCACGATTACTTTAATTAAATTTAACCTCTCGTAAATCCATACGTAAAAAGGGTTTCCTTCTCCGTAAATTTTAACAGTTTTATAGTGAGTT